GGCTGTAGCATGATTTTGCTTTAATTAAGATCTTTGTGTAATTTTCCGGTAAACTTTTGTTGGTTTTGTTTTTAATAGAGCTGCGATTTTCTTTAAAGCGAACGAGAAGGTACCGCAGCCCTACCCCGGCAATCTGGTGCGGTTTAACTCGCTGGCTGCGGTGCAGAAAGTTGAGCTGGGTGAGGAAACTGGTCAAGGAGAGGACAGCCTGCACCAGCCCGGCCCTCGCTTACACATATGTATTGCCCAGGCAATGTTTTCCAAGTTTTATTTGCCTCCTTCCTTAATATGTCCAGTTCCAGAAAGAAATCTAATACATCAGTGACTCAAATAATTTAAACTGTGGGTTAGAATTATGATTTGGGGGGGGGCGGGGTAATGCTATTTACAAATTTCTGTCCAATACTGCCCGAATATTACATTTATTAACAGGCAACAGTACCCATCCTCAAAATTTATAGTTCCAAGAAAGCTTCTTTATGCAGCGTAGCATTACTTTTACATTCTTTAAATAAGAACCTGATATTTAAAAAGCAAAAGATAGGAACATTTCAGGAGCTAGCTGCTTTTTGTAGCTGCTCCGCTCCCAATTTGGGATAGAATGGCTACAAATACTGAAAGGAGGGCAGGAAACAAATTTTGCAAGCAGTGGAGTCACCATGACAAAAAATAATTTGTTTTTATTTTAGATTCAGATTTCATTACTGCACTCAAACTACTACAACTGGGCTTTGAGTTATTATACAATCCAAACTGTTTCAATCAGAAACTCTAAGACTCAGTGTGCAATGATTATTATTAATAATAATTAGCTCCTTGGTTTCTTGATAGAAAAAGGCTATCAACAAGCATTTGTTTAACCACAACAAAAGTATAATTAGCTTATCCCACTTAGTAAATCTGTATGCATGCCAACTCATACCAAACTGCTACTTTTACAAAAAATTGCAATAATACAGATCATTTTTCCAGTCCTTTTTGCACAAAATTTATTTACAATGTATACATAAATGCTCCATGATGGGACTATGGGGGAAAAAAAAAAAAAAAGAAAAAAAAAAAAAAAAGAAGAATGCACACATGACCGATGTCTTGCCCAGAAAGAAAGTCAACATATTAAAAATAAATCTTCAGTCCATGTTTCGAGCTGCATAAAACAGGAAGTGATGTACAAGGTGGTGGTTGCTGCATGGGGACAAGGATGCTCTGATGTGACAATTAGGCTTCAAATACACTGCCTTTCCGTTTCCATGCTTCCTCCTACCAGTCTCCTTAAGACACTGCCTGCAACAGCTGATTAATCATTGTTGATGACTGCAGTTTTTCCCATCCTTCCCGATTTACATCTGTTCAGGCCAATTCAAATATGGTGAGTAAATGAATTAGACATGCAAATTCACGCCCCAGGCTAGAAAGAGAGAGAGGGAGAGAGACAGGGAGAAAGTGAGAGAAGGGGAAGAAAGACAGACAGAGAGAAAGGAGGAGGAGAGAGGAGAGATAGAGTGTGCATGGCTGAAATCCTAGGATAGAAGAAAGATTCTTCTGCCTGACATAGTTATTTTAATGCTCTAAAAATCCTGCAAATAAGCCCTTTCTGTCATTTGCAGGATAAGTGTAAGGCTTCTTTTTTAATGTAAGGAGGCTTCTGGAGGAAGTGAAGAGCTATGGAAACAACACACATAGTGTGGAAAAATTTCACATTTTTTTTAAAAAATCTATAAGAAACAACGTAATATGGATAACAGTATAATAGCATTTTACAATATTTCACTCTTTGTTCTCTTAATGTCTTATATAGGTATTTAGCATGTCCCCAGAAGTTGACTTCGGTTGGTGTTTTCCTGCTTTTCAGGGTCCCTGTGAAGAATCGGAACGTCCCTTGGTCCAAAGTTGACGCCAAGAACTCCATAGTCATTGCAGAAAGACAATGTTTGAAATCTACCGTCGCTGCAGACAACGCGTTTCCCTTAAGCTACTGAGCATGAATGTCCATCACTTGTCCGCTCACTGCCGGCTCGCCGGTATGAAGCATTGTGGGGCTTGATGCTGACATGGGCATTCCAGGGTGGGGTGGTCCTCCATGCATCATCATCGCTGGGTGGTGAGGGTGTCCAGGAATGTAGGTATGCATGGGGGGGCCATGACGCAGCTGAGCAGGATGGGGGGGCATCTGGGGTGGGGTATAGCTTGGCTGTCCCATATTCATACCCATTGGACTACCCCGAGACACATAATCCCCTGGCATACTTTGCAGCCCTGTGGAGAGAAAGAGGTGGTGGTGAGTGGTGAGGAGCAGCGACCAACATCAGGCCGTGAAGCTCCTCCGCTCTGGCACAGGCAGGCCGGGCTCGAGCCAAAGGCGGGACGTGGAGTCACGGGGGTGCACGTGCAGTGGCCTTCGTGGGACCCAAGCCCACGTATGGACCCACAACGACGGCAATGGGAAGGATTCCCGGGTCAAAATGAAAAAAAAACCAACCCGAGAACATCCTCCCCTCCTCCAAACATAAGAGTTTTGGGCGATAAAACCGCTTTCTGCTTTTATGGTCAGGAATGTGTGCGATGGAGACGCTTCCAACGCGGAAGCTCGCCGGAGGCCGAGCCAGCCCGATGATGACTAACGTCACACTGGGTTGTGGCACCAGGCCGGGGAAGCCCTGCGAGGGCTCTCAGGTGGGCTCTGTTCCCCATGGCCTCACTCCAGCTACCCGCCTGCATCTCCCTGCTTCTAAAAGCGTGCTGGGAATACAAGGCAGGGAACCCATAGCAGTTAATGAGGAGAGATGGGTTAAATCGGAGGCGAGGTTTATCAACAGTTATTTATTTAGCTCTCAAGCCCAATCACTTGGAATCTATCCCAAGTATGTGTGCCACTCAAACAGAGGCTGTACAGCGAGCGCATACATCGCTGAACAAAGGCCTCGTACGAAGCCGAAATTGATAGGATTACTAAGGAGGACTGTTAAATCAAACCTGTATTTTTAAACACACTAAAAAAATACATATAATCAATACCAGTTATCAATTAATTCCTTCCCCCTGCTCACTTCTGTCCGAAAAAATCAGACGTGCGACTCAGTCAACCTTTCAGTGGGTTTGGGAGAACAATAAGAAAAAAAATTGGACCTAAAACAATAAAACCTCCTGCTTTCTGTGGGCCTCTGCCTTCTGCTTGGATTGCTGTAGCTGATGGGAACTGACAGGTGTATTGTTTCGGAGAGCTATAAGCTCCATAATCATCAAGGGTGAAAGGCATACGCTATTGCTAAGTAGGTTCAATTGGCTTTAGTTCTAAGTAAGAGCGCGCCGTGAATGCGCCGAACACCTTGGAATCAGGTCTCAAGGCTCTAGCAATGAATAGCTGCTTAATCTAGCCTAAAGGAACAGTTTTGAACTAATGAAAATTGCTTATAAAATATACTGTACTCACAGCTCTTTAATCAAAAAAGATGATAATATTTTTTGTAATAACCTATTAATTTAATTGGTCACGAAGCATAAAATACATCATTTAAATTTAATTGACCCAGAAACTAAGAAACAATATTTAAATTAACTAAGCTAGAAATTTCCATGATGAGGTAATAAGGCTGTTGCATTCCCAAGCTCAGAGGAATGTTTTTACAGCTAATTGTTAAAACTTAGTTTTGACTGGAGCCCAGAGAAGACGACTACGAAACACCCTGGGCCTGGGTAACTTCAAACCCTATGTTAATATAGGCTGGGGGCACAACAAAGATGCTGCAATAGCTGCTTTTAACTCCAAAAAGAGTGTGAGAGGAGCAGAATCATGCACCCTTTCAACACGGTACCGGTGCTTTGGTGTTTCAAACCCCTTCACTCTTTATTTTTTTTTAAAAAACAGAACCACAAAAATTTGTATTATGTATTTTCCCCCAATAAAAAAGACAAGAGGGGGAAAAAAAAAAAAAAAAACTGGGGCAGTTTTTCTAGGCTTTCTTCACGAGGCCTGCCACTGAAGATTGCATTAATGATCTCTATTTTTGTATACTGAATAAGTCAAATCCATTTGTCACACTGCAAGTGATGGCATACTTAATTTGGATATAGTCAATTAGCCTGGGCTAAGCTCCATAGCCTGCTGTGCACACCTCTATTTTGTATTCTCTCTTTTTCCTTTGCCACACGTAATCCCATTATGACGGGCAGACAAAGAGAAATAAACTTGAAAAAAAAAAAAAAATTGAAAAAAAAAGGCAAAAACCACCAACCCAAAGTTTTGTCCATCGCCTTCCAAAACGCAACTGAGTGAAGCCACCGTTTATTTATTTATTTTCCTTTTTTTTTTTTTTTTTTGAAACCTACGAGAAGTCTCTGTTTGGCTTTTTTGGTGTCTTGCAGGTTAGCGGGAGAAATGTAACTCATGCATCAACTGCGGTTAGACAGATTTATGACACTTTGGGGACATGCTCTTTCCTCTCCCTGCGCTGCTGCAGACCGCTTACATTTTGCAAATCAGTCTGTTGCCAAGACGACGGGCTCCCCCACCTCCCCGGCTGCTCCTTGTTTTGTCATGTGCTCGGGGATGGATAATAGCATCAATGTATGGCGGCGTCCATGTACGGCGGCGGCGACGTACGGCGCGCGCGCGCACGGGGGG